TGTTTCTGTTGTTTTCTTTACTAATGACACGCACATTTTCGCACAGAATTTGTGGTGAAAGTCTTGTTGACTTTTTTGCGTGTTTGTTTGACGTTAAATTTAGCAAAAAAGCATCAACAACAAACATGCAAACACACAAAAGCCATTTCCTCCCAATAAAACAATCAAAAACCTAAATCGAAAGAGCATAGTGGAGAACAACCCCATGCACACGTATGCTGATCCAGAAAAAAATGTATTACCTTTTTTTTACAAATCTCAATTATAAATCGTTCATGGGACATGTGAAGAAAAGGCCAAAAGAGCATGGAACTGAGTGCGGTTCGAGTGAAAATCATCACGAGGCAACCGCAATAACGAAACCGCTTTCCAATTCACATCCATTTTGAAACAGTTGATGTGGCAGAACAATTCGAATACAAAACCTCATTATGCATTTAAGCATTTGGAATCGTGTTTGTTTTGGCTTTACGTAAGCATTTAATCTACAGTCTGTACACACAAAACTGTGTTCGTTCATCGGTTAATTCTGTCCCTTTCCCTCACATACACACACTCTATCACTCCGGCTCACCATTGCCTGTCACCATAATCCGAACAATTCAAACAAATCATAGTCTCATTGTGTAATGGGACGCTGGTCAGGAAAGCAACATTCCTCAAAATTCCAAACTCTCATATTGGCCATTCCATTTCATTCAACCACACTTGCACTCCACAATCAAATTAATAATGCGTTCGTTCTCTCTCTCCCCCCGTGTGTGAATATCGTGCTCGCTGCACAGCGAAACATGTTTTCCAAATTGCACTGTAAATCGTGCTGTATGCATAAATGGCATTGCAAAACTTTCTGGCTGAATGTGCGATGCAGACATCGAGGACTATGACGACGACGACGATAGACCGACCGACCAATTCAAAAATTGAATTCACAACTTTTAATATATTACGCTCGGCCGACTTCAGCTCGCATATTGTTGGCTAACATCTAGAGACATCATTTTAAATCACTTAAGCTACATGCATACATGCACAATGAATGTTGACTCGGTTCTGGTACGTGGATGGCTTTAAAATAACGAACAAAATTATCATTGCATATTGTAATGTGTGAGCATGAATGGGATGCAACGAATATGTCTCAATGGACCCACCAGTCCATATATACGCATACATTTCCACACACATACTCAAATCCACGTAGCAATCATGAAGATGAATGAATTATGACATTTCTGCGTGAATGAATCTGTTCACGTATTCAAAGTATCGCTTCAAACAATTCTTTCGTAATGAGAATTCGTTGGTGCGATGGTGCTCACAATTGGGAAATGAGTTGAACTATATTGTGGCTTACGTTTTTTTTTGTACCGAATTTGTTGTACTCATTACCGGTGGTGGGTCATCTATTGATTAAAGAGGAAGGCACGTACCAAACAGCGACTACGTGTTAAAACAACCATACATTCATTTTATTGAAACAACAACGGAACAGATGAGAAAATATCGACCAAACAAAAACGATAGTTATAGCACACTGTGTATCGAATACGCACAATTCCAATGAAATGAGTGAGTGCACTTCTGAAAATATGGGCATTAATTGAATTCGGAAAATAGTTAGAAAGTTTTTCAGCTGGTATTCATACGGCACATCATCAAGTCCGTACGAAAACGGATAATTAAGTAAAAACTGCCATGGAACTTTGAATCGAATTTCTTCAGCAACTTTATTTATTTATCGATCACAAAATCAATAATTCCCACCGTAACCTATCCCTTTATCTTGTGACTTCTATTCAGTTCAACAAGGTCAGCCACAGACTTACTACTGTGTATAAACATCACTGTAGAGTCCCCCCGTAAAAAAAAGAACATTGCTGCTGGCATAGTATTCTAAAATGTTCTGCGACACAAAAACACATCAAAGAAGACACAAACACACACACAAAATAAAACCATAGTCAAAAACATGCTTCGAACATTTGTAATTTCATTTAATGTGGTAATTAATTTAGTGAGCGTGTGCCATTATTTCAACTTTAATGATTAACATGACACATTACATCGTAATTCGATGCGGATTGTCATTTTGGCCACCATATTCGAGCATGCTCGAACAGAACAAAAGAAAAACGAACCGTAGTAGTTGTAACTGAAGTGTCACACGTCATTACTTTCGTTGTTGTCATTCATCCCACTGGAAATTATTAAAGGGATCATCATAATTGATGCTATCTCGTTCACGACGTGTCAATCGGATCGAAGATGAAATTTGAGCAAACTAAAGCTAAAATACATATATCAGCCGAAAATCGGAATGTAAACAATCCCGAAAAAGGCGCAGAGAGAGATTGAGAGAGAGGGACAGAAAATAAAGGAACGAGAAAAGAAAAGAAAAAAAATGATTTCCGAAATTGAATATGTCATGTCATGTATGTTCAGCGTATAATCCATAATAATCATTCATGCACTTAGAATGAAAAGTACTTAATCATCGAAATAGCAAACCGCACATATGTAGTCTCAACATAATTCACTTCGAAGCATTCGCCTTGTGTTCGTTCATCGCACAGAGATCGAGTGCGATAAAGAGAATTGCTTTTATAAATTTCACATTCATTTGAGATTTCCATATGTATGTGCGGAACAAGTGAGTTATTTCGTTGCAATATTAAAACAAGGCGCAAAACATCAAAAAGAACCGAATCGATCCGGCGAAACGGAGCAAATGAATGATGTATTGGCTGTGGTGTCATTTTTTCACTCTTATTCTACTGAAGAGAGAGAGAGAGAGAGAGAGAGAGAGAGAGAGAGCGACAGAAGAGGGAAAAAAAGCGGAAGGATTATTATGTTGAAGGATATGTTGGTTGGAAGCCAAGGACACAAAGCAGATGATTTGGGTTTTAAATGACATGTGTTTGTGTGACTATTTACACACACTACTCATACGCCAACTCACTCGCCGACTATATGATTGCGCGTATATGTCACGGCAGAAAGGATAAAGTAGTGCGGATTCAACATTTTAAGTAGTTGTTATTATGGGTTCTTATACGAGCCTCCGAATCTCTGAAAAAACCACCACCACCACCTATATACTTCACTCCAATTCCATGCTCACCGCCAAACACTTCTTCTTTCATGTCGTATTTAATTTTGTTTGGATCTGTCTGAAAGGGGTTTGATGTAAAGTGGTCGTGTATGAATGTACCCGTGTTAGATTGCAGTGGTATACTTAAGTTTTAAATTAATTACAAATCATGTCGCATTTATGTGAAAAATGATATTTATGTGTGAGAGAAACCTTGACTTGTCTCACTCTACTTACAAGTGTACTGAGACAGAGAGAAATAGTGTAATGATGCCGGTTGCCGCAGCTGTCACCGCCGCACATTAAATATCAGTGGATATTTCGGAGAACATTGATCATCGCTTGGATCATCGTCATCTTGTGCACGTGCAAAATTTAAATAAAACAAAAATGAGCAACAAAAGTTTTATGGTTAAAAGTTAGACCTCAGGATATTTGATTTGATGTCGTTGTAATGTGTATATGTGCACACTTCATGGTTTCCGGAAGGCATACAAAAAGAATGAATCGCATGTATCTCTGATCCCGTGTGTTCGGGAAAATCGATTCAGTCAACGGAAATATTTAGTTGACTCCATTTAGCTGCACGTTTGGCCACATCGTTCAAACTGTCGCCGGTGTGTCATTTGTCGCATATCTCATCTCATGGTTTTTCATATTAAATATTTTAATTTTGTGCAGTCACCTTCATGGGCTGCCGTGGTAAGTAAAAACGGTGGATTTTTCGCACCGCAAACCAACACAACAAAGCAGTCGACATTAAATGGCCCAAAACAATGCAAAAATGACGTTACGTTTTGTGGAGCACATTTCGTTTTCGTTCTTTTTGTTTTTTTCTTTCCTTTTCTTCGGATGGCCGAAGGCAATGAGCACTATGAATTTTCTTATTCACTTGAATAATGTGCCTATCCACCAAATGTGTTAGCGGTGATAACGGTGATAGGACAACGACAAACGAACGAACGAATGAATGAACGAAGCGACAAACAACGAGGAAAAATGATGGCAATTTTGCGCTCCATTGCTAGAGCTTTATAAAATTCCGGCGGTGCGGTTAGGCATCGGCACACCGACAAAAACAGACACTTTGGAAGCGCCTGTAACTCTGCAATTCCATCTCCTTCTTATTTATTTATACGTATATTTTATTCTTACGTTGTGGCTCTGTGTGCGTGTGTTGTTGTTTTTTTTCCCTCCCTGGTCTTAAGTCGCTTTCGGTTCGAGAATGTCGCTACTTTTGTGTGTTTTTTTTCCTCTTTTCGTTTTCGCTACTCAGCGTTTTATTTTAATTCGTTTCATTTTTCACATCGCAATTTTCCTCTTGATGCACGAAATAATTCCATTTCGTTTTCGTGCACATATAATAAATACAATCCAACAGTTTACATTAAGTCATCAGGACTGAAAGAGCGAAGGCGAGACGGAGAACGAGACTGAGGCCAATACAATGTTCCCTGTACTATTATGTGTGCTAGTGCTGGTGCGCTATGCTTTCACGGTTCGCTTGTAGCTCGAAGCTCATGCAATCCATAGCATAGTATGTATTTGATGTAAAACAGCCGCAGAAAAAAAAAACAACAAACGAGAAAATGAAATAAAATAAAACATTGAACGAACCGTATACCGTACCGAGAGCACACAATGTGACAACGAAAACCAAAAATATTCGTTGCCAAATGCTGGAAACACACACAGGAGTTTTGCACGGCGGAAAAATTGGAACAAAAGCTGAACTCAACTCAACTCGCACAAGAAATTTAATCCAACCACATAGAACGCGCGCGAGACTTGGATACGTATACAACATTCCATATATTCGATTCGAGCTCCGGTGTTGTAGTATAGAACAGCAATGTGTAGCGGGATAACGACATCGACGACGACGACGAGAGAGTATGAGGGTCTCAGGTTCGTGGCGCGCGCTCGACTCATTTGTTCGTTCGTTCGTTTGCTCGCTTGCTTGTTGGCTGGTTAGTTGGCTCGATTGTTGTGCGTACTCAAAATATGTTTGTAAAACGCCTGCATCAATGCTTTATGCCTTCAGTTTGCTGTGAACTGCTGACGAGAACGGCCGCATAGCTATCTGTTGCGCAATAACCAAAAAGCTCTCTACCACAGAATATTTTTTATCGTGTGAATAACTCGAACCATTTCTCGCACTCAACTGTTGTGACTCTCTTGTGTGGAATTGTTCGTCTCGAGCCCGATATATACACAGAGTGAAAGAGAGAGAGAGAGAGAGAGAGAGAGAGAGAGAGAGTGCAAGCTTGAAGCAGCGTTAAACGTTTTGTTAGTTACCAAATCGTTATTTTTCCACTGCACAATTTTTTCCATTGTTGTCCGGTGAATTTTTATCGTTAGCACTAGCACACTATTTTCTTCAAAAGTGCTTTTGATTTTGATGATTTGTTCCGTTTTCCAATGGGGAAGCGCGTTCAACTGAAAGAATACTTATGATGGCATTTCTTTTTATACACGCTTAAGAGTGATTCATTTTAAACACATATCGCCAACAGGCAAAGCACTAAATCTAACATACCAAAAGCATTTCAAAAGTAAATAATCAATCAACATACATAGTTGCAACAAACTATCACGGAAAAATACAGTGACGAATGCCAACGACACTTTGGCTGAGAGAGAGAAAAACGGTTAAAAAAAGATAAAAAACATACACATATAAAAAGATAAATGAGTTATGAAATTAAAATAAAGCATAAAACGTTAAACACGTGCCTGTTCGCATATGCGCCATCCTTAGGGTTTTCATATTGTGCTTCTGGGGATGATGAGAAATTAGAATATCCATTTTAACCAACTAAACATTCAAACAATCAAAAACAGTTACACACCGCTTGAGAAGTGAATGCACACGAGAATCATACGCGCATTCAGATACACACTCGTTTTTTGGATCGTAACAAACATCGTGGCCACAGTAAATAAGCAAAGAAAGATAACGCACGGTTCGTAAAATTTTCAATTCCCAGTGTAGAAGATAATTGTGACCGAGTGACGGGCTTATTTCGAGCACACCGATACAAACGAACATTCACACGAAATGTTCTGAAAAGAGGAATTAAAACCAGATTCATTCGTTAACAGAGAAAACTTTTCTGAGTGGAGAGAAGAAGTGAAAAATACCATCGAAGGAAAAGCCAATCTTGAAATAGATGAATTGCCGTGAATATTTGGTCGGGCTCTTAGACTGAAGAGAAAAAAAATCAGAAACACCAAACTTTTTCACCGGAAAACCAAAAAAAAAACACATAAAAAAGACGGTGACGAAGGAGAACAACAAACGAACGAAGCAAAAATTTTGCTCACCACATTCGAGAAATAAAACTTTGTCGGTATTCCTTGGAAAACGAACTTGTAAATTCAGATAATTGCCGCACAAGATGTTCTGGATACTGAGGCGAACAGGTGCAGCTAACTTCTTTACGTCGATCAATAACAATTATTCATCGAAGTCGCACACAAACAACAACAACAGCTATGGTAAGTTTACGTTTTTTTTCTTGTCCTTTCAATTGCCATTGAAAATAAAATACAGAAGAAAAAGACAGCGTAGTAAAACAAAAATAAACTTTTGAGACAAATGCATTTTTAATTTGAGGCTACACGCGTGGACCATGCTTCTCTCTTCATTTCCACGTGAACACAATTTTTTCGATGTAGTCGTTGCGATTATGCGACCGCATCAAATACACAATACGAAAAATCACAGTTCGCCAAATTGCGAATGGCATCAGAAAGAAATTGCACGTGTGCGAGTGAAAGTCATAAATCGAATTACATGGCCGCGTGCATTGATGTGTTTAATCAAAGTGGAGATCGTTCATTTATTCATATGACCCAATGCAGTCGTATAATCTCAATATCGCGATTTGAATACAGACACATGAACAATTGACATTATTGAATCTCCCTGAGGCTGAATGAGAAAGACATGGAAGGGATAGAGAGAGAAAGAGAAAGAAAAAAAAGGTTCAAAACACTATACAAATAGATTATTTTATTGACAAGCCTGAATTCGAATCGATACATTCGTCCCTTTCCGTTCTTCAATTCATGATTCGCTGTTCGTATCGTCATTATCAATCGCGTTGAATTGGAAAAACACACCGTCGGCTGTGGATATGAGTGAGCCACGTACACCACTCAATCAGAGACACGATGCTATAGCGAAACTGTTCGGAAGTACTTGTAATTGAATATCAATGTAAACAAAATACCACTTTTCTGAGAGCTGAAAAGAAGATTGAGTGGCAAGCCAAACCAAACCAGAAGCACAATCGATCGAATGGAATCGAAAAGGTATTTATACGAGTTTATGCGGGGGACAACAATTCACCAAATACAAAAGCACCCGAGAAACAGACAGATAGCAAATACATGGAGAGAGAGAGAAAGCGCAAAAAAAACACGAAGAGAAACTGAGTGAAAGAAAAAGCAAGCAAAATGAGCTCGAAATGTGTTGTATTGATCAAATCGATATTGAATCTTTCACGTTGCTTCCCGAAATGGATGTTATCAATCGGAGTATAAAAGCGAAAAACTACTGAAAACGACTGAGCGGAAGAGAGAGAATGGGAGAAAAAAGCACAGCAAACGACATAGACAACAACAACGAGGCAAAAAAAAACACATATCGGATACATGCCATTCTGAAGAGTGGCTGTAGTGATCTATTGAGAAAAGAAGCGAAAGCGATGTGCAAGAAATATTTTAGTGCGATAGGTGGCCTCCATTCACCATATTCATTTTCTTTTATCCGTTTTTTTGATTGATATTTCCCTCATTGTCGACTTTTGCCGCGGCTTCCAATAGACCATTCTTCTTACTTAGTTTTTTTTCCAGCGCTTTATCTTCAGTTTTTTTTTTCATGTTGTTGTCATTCGAGCTGGAGACATTTCGATGTGATAGAGATGAAATCGTCTACGATTACATATTCCACGTATCGTCATTTTTTTCTGCCAATATTAAGTATTTGCTTCTTTTTGAATACTGTCTTCAATATGTGTACGCCTTTAATTTTCTCGCTTTTTCCTTCTATCTGGTGTGTTGCTTCTGTTTTTTTTTCCTTTCCCTTCTATCGTTTGTTGGTGCGAGGGCCTCTTTTACCAACTATTTGTTTGGACACAATGAAAAAAATGCCATGCTCGCAATCGATGGATTACCTTCTTTACGATACAACAATTGGTGTGATTTGATCCTTCGGGACAACGCTCTTTCATTCCATTCCTTTCCTCCCCAATCGACCCAAGCAAAGAGCAGACAAAATGAAAATATTGAAATGGACATTTAAAGTTTTCGTCCGAAAAAAAAAATGACAGCGAAGCAGATGTAACCCACATCTTCTTTCACACACATATTGGAATACCAACCCGTGGTTGGGAAGGATAACAACCATAAGCCCAATCGTATAATACTCGCATTTAATTTTATGGATCATTCTGGAAAATTACTTCTTTGTTTCCATGGTTAAGTTTAAATATCGAAAAAATATTTATTTATTTTTTTCGGTTCGATTGCGTGCGGTTTTATTGAAGGGGCCCATTTCAAATAAATTATGTAACACATTGAAACTGCCATCGCATACAAAACTTCCCACAAAACAATAACCGATCCGATCGATAGGAATCTCGTTTACTTTCCATCGTTCGTCCGAAAATGTAGAATACTCAGAAAAATGTGTACTGACGCAAATGCTAACAAACAAAAACAACACATCACCGGGGCAAAAATCGTGAGCTAGCGTGAGCAAGACAGAGAGACCAGGCCAAGACAATGTTTGCCAATTGACATTTGGAAGGAAACGTGCCGTTGCGTGAACCATTAAATAATTGTCAGACATTGTAAAATTGTTCCGCAATGTGCCAGTATAAAAATAGCAGAACGAATTTCCAAACCAAGCAATCATTATGCGAGTAAACAGCATTCTACTTCTACCGCTGCTGCTGCTGCTGCTGCTTCTGCTGCTGCTGCTGCTGCTTCTGCTGCTGCTGCTGCTGCTTCTGCTGCTGCTGTTGCTGCCATTTTCGCTGAGTGGACACGTAATTCGGTTTAATAAATGTTGTGAAGAAGACGCAACCACACATCTTACTTATCCATCTATTGCTTAGGAAAGAAATAAAACAGCAGACAATACTGAAGTGGATTGATTGAATTACATGATTACAAATATTTGCACGTACGCTTTGTTTATTTACTTATATTTTTCTTCTCTCGCCATTGTTTTCACTTCTTTTGTTTTGTTTTTTCCTTCGATTTTCTCTCTCTCTCACTCTCTCACCATTTCTATTTCTATTGCTCGCATTGTCTTCTCTGTCTCTTGCTTGAAAAACCAAAAATTGATTCAACAACACATAGAACAAGCATTGTAGCATTGCTTTCACTTTGTTTCAATTTCAAATCGAATCACAGCTAATTTGTTGATGGCAGCAAAAATGTCGGAAACATCTCTCTCCTTCGACACTGAAACATGGGTATCATGCATAGTGTGAGAATGTAAAGTGTCGACGAATTGAAGTCTTCAATTTCAAAGATAAAATTGAATTACACATAAATATTTAATCGATTTGTAGTCATTGTCACGTTTGCATTTTATATAATTATGCTTAGAGCTGCAATTACAATTTAATAAGATGCTCTGCGTATCGGTGGCACAAATTGACGTAAATTATGAAATGTGCCATTGATTCCGTTCACTCACCCACTCACATTCTCTCTATCTCTACCTCTGCTCACTTCGTTTCTGTGTCAATTATTTTCGGGGGACTTTTTTTCTATGTCACATTCACCGAACGCTAGTAATTTTCCGATGGAATTACTACATTCACAGTGTTTTATAACTCGGAACGCCGAGAGTATTTGGTATTGAATAATAGAGAATATCGTGTTCAGGTGAAATTAATTTACGATCAATAACACCTTATCGGTAGGTGCCACGCGAGCACAGATTGAACGTCAAATAGCAACGAATTTCATACGTAAACAACTCATTCTAACGCTATAGGCCATGTGTATACAGCAAAAACCACTGCCAAATACAATACGTATGATGAGCTTGGAATGAACATGAGACTTTCGTCGCTCAATACACAGATACGAAACAAAAATAAAGCAATCCATTAAAATGGAACATGGAAAAGAAATCCGTAAGAATGAAACATAGCATGTGCCGTTTTAAGTATTTCGCTTTGTGGTGTTCCGTTTTGATAGATTTTTTGTCTGCAGTGTCTTTATGAATGAATCCTCTCGCATTGTTTCATATGAATGGATCTGTATCACATTGTTTCGTTACTCGAATATTTTTTCGTGTGTTTCATTTCAATGTTTCCCATGTGGACGATCCGAAACAGACAAAAATCGAAAAAAAAGTTTAATTTTCTTTTCGATTCTCATATAATATTTCTTTGCCCAATCCATTGGTGTTATCGCCACATCGAAATTCGGGCTCCTTATCACTTAATTTGCATCATGTGATAAATGTGAGTGACGTCATCAATAGCTCGGGAATCAATTGAAATGAAACACACGAAAAAATATTCGAGTAACGAAACAATGTGATACAGATCCATTCATATGAAACAATGCGAGAGGATTCATTCATAAAGACACTGCAGACAAAAAATCTATCAAAACGGAACACCGCAAAGCGAAATACTTAAAACGGCACATGCTATGTTTCATTCTTACGGATTTCTTTTCCATGTTCCATTTTAATGGATTGCTTTATTTTTGTTTCGTATCTGTGTATTGAGCGACGAAAGCCTCATTTTCATTTTAACCGCATCATATATAGATAGTAATAATAATCCAACAGAAATGCACTCCAAATTGGAAGACGTGGATAGTTCGTGGGGGAGTAATGGTGGTAGAAGTGGTGGCGCTTACTTTTGGCAAGGTGTTCAATTTCATTTGCATTTATCGAATTGAAGTAAACCAAAATAATAATCCATTGAATATCATGCCATGTTGCCCACCTATGTTTTGTTAAACGAATGACGTCGTTGCCGTTGTAATTCACGAGAAAAAAATATACATACACGAACTTCTGCCGAAATCGAATTCAAATGTTTTGAAAGCGAACAACATTGCCAAAAAATAAATGTAGAAAAATGAACTGAATGACAAAGAAAAAATAGCAACACCCAACAAAAAATAATCGATAATTCATCTCATTGGAGTTATGCCATTTTCCTCTCCCGACTCAATCAAATCAAAACAACAACGAACTTGTTCGAACAAGAAGAACAAAAATAAAAACAGAACAACTCGAATCACTCTTTTCGCCATGTTTTTTTTTAGTGCGTCTGTCGAACAAGCAATCGAACGAACAGATGTGTGTATGTACGCGCGCGAGCAAGCGAGGAAAAAAATATCTCGAAAAAAAAAACAATGTGTACTTGGTTATGCAAGCGAAAGTAAATAAATTGATACATAAACATAGATATAGGTACGGTATTTCAGTGTGTTTACTCGATTGAGGATTT